CTTGGAAGCTGATAGTTATTTACAAAATCTTGAGAATTCTTACTAATAACCCTAAGTCTGGAGAGAAGCAGATTAAATGAGGATTCTTATCTTCTCACTCTGTTGAATAAGAAAAAAATGAGTGAAACTGGGAAAGTTTTTTTTTTTTTTTTTTAAAAAGGGCAGACTGTCTCTGACAGAAAAGAAAGCTCTAGAGATACAAATTGAATCAGGGGACACAAGGGAATCCTTTCATGTGAATGGGTTACTGCACCCCCAACTACGTAGATGTGCATATAACAAAACCTGAGAATTAAGAACCTGGATATTCCAAAGAAACACAACAGGTTAATCTTACTAATATAAGTAAGCATTCTAAAAAGAATGTTAGCATATCCAGTCATATAAAAATAGTAACATTCATATAAAAATGAGGAAGTTGGATTTATTTTGGGAATGTCAGGCTGGGTTCAACGTTAAAATAATTTAAAGGAAAAAAATCATATGATTATCTCAGTGGATGTAGCATACTGCCTAAGCCAAGCAAACAATCTTTGATGTGAATACAAGGGAGTCAAAAAGTCACTCATGTTAAAGCAGAGCAAATAAGAGGTCTTGGCAGAGTTGCAAGATAAAATAAAAGCATGATAACTATGCCAACATACCATAGCAAACTAATGAATTAACAAAAACAAGAAAAAAAACAGCATGCAGAAGATGAAGAACCCATAAACTCCAGGACAGAAATATCTTACATGTACCTCAAGTGGTACAACTTAATAAAATAAAACAAGAGCTAAAAGACAAGATTATGTTACAACAAAATGAGATAAAAGGTAAATTGCAGAACAAAGGGAACAAATTGAGGACTAAAACAGCATAATTACAGAACAAATAAATAAATTAGAAATAAAGAACAGAATAGAGATGGTTAACAATTAAGTTACATGATAGCAAAGCTTCAGATAATCAGATTAAGTGTAGATGAAAAAGACAGAGTCAAGTCAGAAGACCTAACTAATAGATATGGAGCTAAAAGTCTCTGTAGCATAATGATAATTATTAGTGCCCTTGAAATGGAGCACTCAATAAATAGAGCAGAAAAAGTATTCAAAGATATGATAAAAGAAAATTTGGGCCAGCCCCGTGGCTTAGCGGTTAAGTGCTCGCGCTCCGCTGCTGGCGGCCCAGGTTCAGATCCCGGGTGTGCACTGACGCACTGCTTCTCCAACCATGCTGGGGCCGCGTCCCACGTACAGCAACTAGAAGGCTGTGCAACTATGACATACAACTATCTACTGGGGCTTTGGGGGGGAAAAAATAAATAGAGAGAGAGAGAGAAAGAAAGAAAGAAAATTTACCTGAAATAAAGAATTGAATCTAGAGATAAAAAATGCCCTGCTAAAAGGGGGAAAAAGTAGAATAAGATGTGATACTATATTCCCAACTTTCAAAGCAGGGAGTCAGTCAGTGCTATCTAAAATTAAAAAAAGAAAAACTATAATTTCTCCAATGTAATGTTTTTCTTGATGTCTTGTCTTAGCCGTAGAGGATTCATTTCAAAAATTTCTCTCTTTTTGGGGCCGGCCCGGTGGCACAAGCGGTTAAGTGCGCGCTCTGCTGTGGCGGCCTGGGGTTCGCAGGTTTGGATCCCGGGCGCGCACCGACACACCGCTTGGTAAGCCACGCTGTGGTGGCGTCCCATATAAAGTAGAGGAAGATGGACAGGAATGTTAGCTCAGGGCCACTCTTCCTCAAGAAAAAAAAGGGGAGGATTGGCATTGGATGTTAGCTCAGGGCTAGTCCCCCTCACAAAAAAAAAAAAAAAAAATTCTCTTTTTTTCCCCAAACATTTCTCTTTTGGTGAAGAAACATTTAGCATATTCTTCAGTTTAACTTATTTCTTTTTCCTTTATTAAGTTCTAATAAAGTTATACTTTAATGCTTTTATTTTAAAAATAGTATCATATTTTTGTAGAAGTATTTCTATTGCACTATGCACGTAGAAGGAAAAGTAGGTAGGTAGATAGTAAGCTAGATGTCTGGAATGATGTTAACCTAGTAGTAAAGATAGTTTCTGGCTGGTGGGATTTGAGAAATATATCAGTCAGTGTCTGGTCAGGAGACAGAAACCATACCAGTAATTTTTAACAGAAAGAATTTAATATAAAATATTGTTAACAGATATTAAACTGAAGTGGAAAAATAGGATACCAAAGTTTTCACAGAAGTATCAACTGTGGGAAGCAGCTACCATTCCTAAGGCTGTGGGTCAAAGGAGAGAGGTTGGAATTATTAAAATACATAAACTCACAGGAGGGGCTCTGTGAGTGTCAGATCTCTGAGAAGGGGGTGCTGCTTAGGTTGGTATTAATGCCTTTGGGCTTGGAGGATGGGCCCCGTGAGCCTGGGACTCAGACACCTGGTGCTGATATCTCTGAAGAGGGTCCAACAAGGCTGTTTGGGATAATAAGTGAGGTAAAAAAATGATGTTATTTTCTTCTAGATGGCAAACCAGAACAGGCAATACCTTTCCACTTGTTAGAAGTCTTCCTTTGTGTCTCTCAGTAGGGCTTTTAAAAAGTTTTTATTCATACTTACCTTGTGCATTTCTTAAATTTCTTAAAAATGCTAGCTATTTTATTTTAGTTTAGTTGTGTACCTGTAAATGAAAACTTTTCTTCTACTTTATCTTTTAACTGGTTGTAGTTTGTATATAAGAAAACTTTTGATGTTTAAGTATTAATGTAACATCCAGAATCCTTATTAAATTTTGTTATAGTTTGTCATAGTTTTTCACCTCCACAGTATTTAAACTTCTCTAAAGGGCTCTTACAGAAATATGCTTTGCATTTTGTTATGTGGGGGACTGTCTTCAACATACTGATTTCTCTTTATTGCCAAGTACCATTTCCTTTCCTGAACTACTATTGTAAAGATATCATTACTGGTCTCCTTGCTGCTACCCCTGTCCCATCACCAATTTATTCTCAACACAGCTACTAATATAATCTTTTAAAAACGTAAATCATGTCACTTTCCTGCTCAAAACCCTTAAATGATCATCCACTGTTCTTCAAATAAAATCCAAATTCCTTACCATAAATTCCAAGGCTCTATGTTTTAGCCAGCTTGGGCTAGCATAACAAAATGCCATAGACCGGGTTGCTTAAACAGCAGAAATTTATTTTCTCATAGTCTGGAGGCTGGGAAGTCCAAGTTTAAGGTGCCAGCCAATTCAGTTCCTGGTGAGGGCTCTCTTCCTGGCTTGCAGATGCCCGCCTTCTTGCCATGTCCTCACATGGCCTTTCCTCTGTGATGCAGGTAGGGAGAGAGAGTGAGAGCGATCGCTCTCTCTTTCTCTCTCTTCTTAGAAGGCCACTAATGCCATCATAAAGACCCCACCGTCGGGACCTAACGTAATCCTGATTACCTCCCAAAGACCCCATCTCCAAATATCATCACATTGAGGGTTAGAGCTTCAACATATGAATTTTGGGGGGAACACAAACATTCAGTCCATAACACTCTAAAATGATCTGGTCCCCACCTATCTCCAGCCTCTTCCAAAGGCGTTCTCCAGAGTCCCTTAACACTGGCCTCTTTTACGTTTCTTAAACACATCAAGCTCTTTTTTACTTAAGAATCTTCATACATGCTCTTCTCTCTGCCTAGAGGCTCTTCCTTCTCCTCTTCACATGAGAGATTTGTTATCATCCTTTAGGTCTTGGGGTTAAATATCCCTTTCTCAGAATCCACATATATAAGCAGGTCTCCTCTAATTCTCTGTCAACTCATTGGATTTATTTGTTTATTAATCTATTACAAGTGTGTATCTGTATGTTACTACAAATGTGTATCTATAAATGTGTGTGCATAATTTTATTCTTCTATCTACTTTTGTATATGTTTAGAATTCTCCATAATAAAAAGTTTTTTTTTTAATTGAGGTCATAATAGTTTATAACATTGTGAAATTTCAGTTGTACCTTATTATTTGTCAGTCACCATATAAATGTGTCCCTTCACCCCACGTGCCCACCCCTCAACCCCCTTCCCCTCTGGTAAGCACTAAACTGTTCTCGTTATCCGTGTGTTAGTTTATCTTCCACATATGAGTGAAATTGTATGGTGTTGATCTTTGTCTGGCTTATTTCGCTTAACATAATACTCTCCAGGTCCATCCATGTTGTTGTTAATGGGATGATTTTGTCTTTAAAAGGTTTTTTTAGTGGAAAAAAAATTCCAGTGATAAACTTTTTTTTTAACCTCTTAGATTCATAGTCATACTTTTGCTTTTGCTTGCTCATACACTGTTAAGAAAATAATACTCACATACATTGTTGTATTTTGATAATACCTTTAAAAATTAAAAGGCACATACCTTTGATGCCACAGTTCCAGTTCTAGGAATGACTTGTACCATTATGTAAAGACATTTATACGTGATTTTCATTGAGGAACAGCAAAGGTTTGGAAACAACCTAAATATCCATCAATTGGGGAGGGGGGCAGTTTAATGAATTATGGTATAATCATACTATGAAATACTACTCAGGTATTAGAGAATGGAACAGTTCTATATGTAATGACATGGAATGATTTCCAACTAAGAAAACAAGGTGCAAACCACTGTGTATAATATGCATGCCATCATTAAAGATATTATACTGGAATTTATCTAGATTATCTTTGGAAAGGTAGACCAGAAACTAGTAACAGTGGTTGCCTCAGGGACAGGGAACCAGATGACTGAAGGTTCGAGGGCGGGATGGAGACTTTCTTTTTCACTGAAAGCATAATAAAAAATACTATGGGAGTAGAGATGAATGACTGTTTCGGTCTGAAATTATGGGGAAGACTTTTTGAAAAACAAAGGTAGTAAGAGCTTAGTATTGCTTTTTATCTAACAAAAATAGAAAACATTAACAGATAATTATAATAGATATTGCTATGAGAGTTGTAAAATGATTTCACTTACAAGTGGAAATATTATCTGAATTTTATTTATTTATTTTTAGGTGGTGATAGTGGACTGGATGGGTTAGGAGCACCAGGTGTACAACTAGGAAGCCCAGATAAGAAAAAACGGAAGACAAATACACAGGTAAATTGACATTTTCTTTGATACCAGTTTTTCTTCACTGATACCATCAGGCCAATGAGGTCAATTTAAATTTGGTCATGGGTTTTGTTTCTTATCCTCATTCAGAACCTAATAGTGAATTCTGCAATGATCGTGTTTTTTTATTCTGCAACTAATGGCTATGGTTGCACTATAGGCCTAGAATAGGTATTGCAAGGAAGTGTGGGCAGACAAATTAAAATGCTTATTCTTAAATCTAATTTAAAAGGGATAGATACCTGTAGTTCTATTAAAAGATTTCAAAATATATGGACACAAGTTTAACCTGAAGTAACGTTCAGCTGTTATAGTACTTCAGTCGTGTGTGCATTTCATGAAGCAGTCATGGTGGAGGCATCTTTTGTCTATGACCTGTAGTTGTAATAAACAGTTAGAAATACAGGCTTTCATGGTTTTATTCGCTATGAATTTAAGCACTCTTTTTATGATAAAGACTGCAAATAAGTATGATGTGTGTACAGATTACTTTTTTCCATTTTGGCCACCATCTGTTAAACTTGCGGTGGGACTAAAACCAGAAGTTTATTTTTCCAGTCTGAGGCCTAGAGCTTAGTACTTTGGGGATACTTTAATAGCTACTCCCTGAAGTTAAGCTAGGAAAAAAATTTAGATCCTGTTTATTGTTATTTAATTTTATGGCTATTTGGAGGGTATAAAAGGTATTTTTAGTTAGAATTTTAAGTGAAAGATTCTAGAGTTATAGAGACAAGCATATTAAATGAAAATTATGGTAATGAGGCTTCTTTTGGAAGTTACCTTTGGAGTTTGAAGTACCAATGGATTTGAACTCAGAAAAGCATACCTTATTTCCTTTCCTAAATGAAAGAAACCTACACATTCTTTTTTTTTTTTTTGTGAGGAAGATCAGCCCTGAGCTAACATCTGCCAATCCTCCTCTTTTTGCTGAGGAAGACTGGCTCTGGGCTAACATCCATGCCCATCTTCCTCCACTTTATATGGCACGCCGCCACAGCATGGCTTGACAAGCGGTGCGTCACTGCACGCGCGAGATCCGAACCGGCGAAACCCGGGCCGCCGCAGCGGAGCGCACACACTCAACCACTTGCGCCACCCGGCCGGCCCCTAAACCTACACATTCTTATCATTAAATATAATTAAATATAAACATGACTTGGAATTGAAAGGTCAAGTGAAGAATTAAATTTTTGTAACACTGCAATAGAAATTTGACTAAAATTAGGTTCATAAGTGTTAAGATAACAGGACAATTTTAATGACTTCTTTGATCAAAAACATGCATTTTACTCTACATTCTCATTTCAGGGGCCTTCTTTTCCTCCATTGTCTGAGTATGCTCCACCACCGAATCCAAACTCTGACCATCTAGTGGCTGCTAATCCATTTGATGACAACTATAATACTATTTCCTATAAACCACTACCTTCATCAAATCCATATCTTGGCCCTGGTTATCCTGGCTTTGGAGGTTATAGCACATTCAGAATGCCACCTCACGTTCCTCCAAGAATGTCTTCCCCATACTGTGGTCCTTACTCGCTCAGGAATCAGCCACACCCATTTCCTCAGAATCCTTTGGGCATGGGTTTTAATCGACCTCATGCTTTTAACTTTGGACCACATGATAATTCAAGTTTTGGAAATCCATCTTATAATAATGCACTAACTCAGAATGTTAACATGCCTAATCAACATTTTAGACAAAATCCTGCTGAAAACTTCAATCAGATTCCTCCACAGAATGCTAGCCAGGTATCTAACCCTGACTTGGCATCTAACTTTGTCCCTGGAAATAATTCAAATTTTACTTCTCCATTAGAATCTAATCATTCTTTTATTCCTCCCCCAAACACTTTTGGTCAAGCAAAAGCACCACCCCAAAAACAAGACTTTAGTCAAGGAGCAACCAAAAACACGAATCAAAATTCCTCTGCTCATCCACCTCACTTAAATATGGAGGACACAGTGAATCAGAGCAATATTGAATTAAAAAATGTTAATCGAAACAATGCAGTAAATCAAGAGAATAGCCGTTCGAGTAGCACTGAAGCTACAAGCAACAGCCATGCAAATGGGACACAGAATAAGCCACGACAAGCTAGAGGTGCAGCCGATACGTGCACCACTGAGAAAAGCAATAAATCCTCCCTCCACCCAAGCCGTCATGGCCATTCTTCCTCCGACCCAGTGTATCCTTGTGGAATTTGTACAAATGAAGTGAATGATGATCAGGATGCCATCTTATGTGAAGCCTCTTGTCAGAAGTGGTTTCACCGGATCTGCACTGGAATGACTGAAACAGCTTATGGCCTCCTAACTGCGGAAGCCTCAGCAGTGTGGGGCTGTGACACCTGTATGGCTGACAAAGACGTCCAGCTAATGCGCACTAGAGAAACGTTTGGTCCACCCGCAGTGGGCAGTGATGCTTAATCACAGGCAGTAACAAAAGTGGTTTTTTTGTCCTGTGTATTACAGAGGTTCAGTGACACAGGATTTTAATGTTTTACATTATTTTTTTAAGTTCACACACAAGATTATTTACCTTTTAGTTTTTATTAATATTCCACTTCATTACTAGTACAAATTTTGTATCGTCATTTGCTATTTTAAATGAGAATAATGTATATGAGGTGCTTCAGGAAGTACTATACAAATAAATGTTACTTGTTGTTAATCATAAACATAAAAGCCTCTTGAAGCTTCAAAATAATATGTAGCAAGTGTAGGCAAGTTTTGACTTTTAAAAGAATCATTGAAAAAATGTATATTTCAGTGCTGAACTTTGGCGATATCACGTTAAACATTTAGTTCAAAAGTTTTTTCAAGGATCCATTTAACATGTTTTCAGGAAAAATTTATGTAGCTGTAACATGGAAGGAAGCATACATTTTAGTGGGTGTTTTTAAAAATAATAGGGTATGACACCAGATTCCTCCTGACTAGGGTCGTTGAAATTAGTGACTTTGATATTTTCAAGTCAGTCTTTCCAGGATATCTGTACAGATATGAGACAGATGTTAGCATATAGTAGATGCTCAGTATTTGTTGATTAATTTGTGGATTGTACCACATGAAATTGCTAATATTAGATCAGTTGAAAATTGACTGCAGTTAGTAGAGTTGACATAAAGTATGTTTCTAGTTGTGCTATTTAAAATTAAAACAAAATCATGCTCTTCAATCTTCAATTTTCTTTGATTGTTGAGTTGTTTTGTATTGTTTTCCAGAGAAATAAATAATATAGTATCCTCAGAAGAATTGTGAATACTTTTTCTAATGTGATTTCAAACTGCGACATATTGCAAATGAGATAGGTAGAAATATCAATTAGTGTTAGCAGGCTCTGCTAGCAAAAGAACTACGCAGTGGTGGTTTGAAAAATCTTGTTCTAGGGATCTGAATTCAAAAATGAGCCTCAGGGGAGATCAAAAACCATTTCAAGCAAAGACCAATTAAGCGCCAAGGTGAAAGCTAACTCACAAACAGCAGTTTGAGCCCTTGCAGCAGACAGGAGTTTCTGCTGTGACTGGGAAAAGTGTAAAAATGGACCTGAGAGTATCCTCTTGAGAGATGATAAAGAATGGAGACAGTTGAAGGTGAACTCATTAAGATTCAAAACAGCAGAAACCCATTTTTGGAGCAGATCATAACATGTGACCAAAAAAGCCAGATACTGTATCACAATTGATAGCAATTCATACGATGGTTGGATGTTGGTGAAGCTCCCAAACTTGCGCCATTATCATCATTGCAACCAAAAAAGTTCTGAAGACTGTATGGTGATCTGCAAAAGGGATAATTAATTACTACTATTTAAACCCTGGTGAAACAGCAGCAGCAGCATATTGCCAAGAAATTAAAATTATGCATGAAAAATTTGATTAAAAAACAAAGTCCTTTGATTAATAAACATGAACACGCACTTTTGCATGACAGCACTTGGCTTCTCATGTCACAAGCCACTAAAGCAAAGTTAATTGAATTGGGCTATTAAATTCAGTCATGTCCATCGTAGTCACCAGACCTTTATCCAATGAACCACCGTCTATCTCATCATTTAGAACTTTCTCTAAGAAACAACATACTCTCCAATTGAGAAGCAGTAATTGGAGGATTTGAACAATTTATGCAGCCTAACAAATGACAAATTTTATAAAAATGAAATATTTAATTATCTATTAGAAGGAAATTATTAATGCTCATGATGCATATATTGATTGAATAAAACTTATTTTTTTAATAACGTGTTTTAATTTTAACCTACAAAAACAGCAATTTCATATGGTACAAGGTAATATAAGGTTTTTTCCATTTACTGGTGACTAGTTAGAGGTGAGTACAAAATATTTTCAATAGCTGTAACATATGTATCTTTACAATTTTAGGAAATGAAATGATATAAACTCTAAAACTAGGTACTACCTTGTGTGAAAACTTGACCAGTTAAAGCAGGGTAAAATGCGGTATTTTGGGCTGACTGACATTTGATGTGTTCAGTAGCATACTCGAAGATCCCATTTTGCTTACATTGTAGGTTTTGTTAGAGATACATAATTTTCTAAATGTTTAAGGACCTAGTTATGTTTTTCTTGAAATCCTAATGAGTGCTGATTTTTAAGAAATGATGCACTGCGTATATGCCCAGTCCTAGTATCAGATCATGATTTTTTATGACACTGAATACAGTTAGATACTGAGTTGAACCTTCCAGTGTCTGCAGGAGTTAACTCTTTACACGGTGGTACTTGAGTTGTGCTCATTGCTAAGATTGATTATGCAGTTTCTTAAGCCCTCTATTGCTTACAGTTTCAGTAGTTAGTTGTTTCGTGAAAATGAAATAACCTCTCCCAAGCTAAAGATGCTTGATTTGTAATGTGATTCTTACATTTTCCATTTCCAAGTAGTTGTTTTTTAAAACTTACAAACAAGTGAATTTTTATTCGAGTATTTAGGTCTTCAGAGTACCTTACTTAAATAGGAATCTGTAAATATTCAAAAGAAAAACCCATAGTTGATTCTGACTGTGAATCAAAGGCAAAGTATAATCATAGCTGATGAATGTTCTCATGTATTTGAATTAATTTTCTTACTAGTTCCACATTTGTCTCTTCATAACACTAAGTCAGAAGTTGTCTAGATGCTTTTTAGTAGGGAAAGTGATGGGCTATAAGAATGGCCAGATACTAATTTGCCCAATTTGACCAAAGAAGGATATTATACGAATTGATATGGCTTTCTTAGGACAAGTGATGAGCTGCCCCAAACATTTAAAAATATTCAGTGATGGAAAGAAATGCACACAGGTGGAATAATCTTCCAGTAGCATTGCACCTTTTTGATGTAATCCTTTTCCTTCACTGAAAGTCCTCATCTCACACACACACACACACAACTGAGCAGGAAATCTTGGAGTTTCTCCTACAGTCTCAAGTTTTGCCAACGTTCGACCTGGCTAACTGTCTGCAGCTAGGCTCTCTCACCAAGGCTAGATTACTGATAGAAAGTCTTGAAGCATCGATTCCTTTCTCAGAACTTGCTTTGCTCATTTCACTAGAGAATTCCTGCCACTTGCTTCTAGATGCTACTGGAGTCACTAATACTGAAACAGCTTAGCTTGTAAAAGACAAATCAATCACTCTTCAGATAGACTGCTTAGAATTTAGATTGGTGATCAGTGTTTTCCTTTTGTGTGAAATACTTTAGAGTACTGCTATTATAATTCTTGTTATCCAAATTAGAAGATGATGTACATAAAACTGAAAATTTTCTTGTACTTGTGCTTATTCTTCATAGATTAACACAATATAAAGAAATGCAATTTTTTTATGTTTTTTTTTTTAGACTCCCAACTCTGCCTAGTGGTAGGAAAAAAAACTCAATAGTATGGGTCACCATGATGTCTGCTGACTTGAATCATCCAAATAAAATAAGTATCAGGAGTCTTCATCTAATATTCTTTCAAACTTGTTCATCCTGAACAAATTAAGAGTGCTAGTACTTACTGTCCAACATACTGTAGTAATTGTATTTAATAGTAAAAATATATATAAGCAATGGGTTTTTTAAGGGAGCTCTAAAGAGTTTTTGGATTTCTTTTTTGCAGTGTATAGAGGTATTCATATGCATGAACATTTGTGCTATTTTAGTTTTTTTTAATTAAAGTTTATTAAAAGCATCTAGGCTCCCAAAGTTCATTTGTAAATAGTGGTTTGGAACTCTATATAAGGTTGTTAGATTCTTAGAGAAGTTCATAAAGACTTATTTAAACCATAATGTAGTTAACCAATAGTATCATGCTGAGCGCTCTTTAGCCTGAGTTTTCTTTAGGGAAACAATCAATGTAGGAGGGAGAAAGAAGCAGAGGTCTTTCCTTTTTCCTGACGTGATTCAGGAAGGTTAAGTTCTTTGGTCTGAATGTTTCCCAGTTGCCCTTATGCCATCCTAAACTCTCCAGTGGAATGCTGTATAAGCCGACTTGCCTTTTCTCTTCCTGGATGCTCTGTGCTTCAAAATTTCATATCTTTCCTCCAATCAGAATTCCTATTTCTTTATGTGGCTGTGGTTGGCTAGATTTTAAGGGAAAAGTGTTTTCCATCAAGATATGAATGAAGAAAGTGAGATTAAATTTCTCTTTTTAAAAAGATTGTTTATTAGTTCAGAATGAATCTTTATCTAAGATATCAGACAATATGACTACATTTCAGGCACTGTGGGAAGCAGTATTTTTATTGAGTTGGCTGTTACTGTCTTGAGAATACTCAGTTTCCTTTAGATTGTTGGGCCTTTTCAGAGTTTCCCTTCCTCTACTTCTGAACTCATAGGTTTTCTTCTAATTCCTAAATTTTAGTAATTTCTCCTTTTTCTCTATTCTGTGTATCCAGTAGAGCAGTATAGAAGTGCTTGGTGCAGTGATGGGAGTTTAGAGGCATACCTGGAATTATGAGGTTGGGGATGGCATTAACATCTCCCAAGACAAGTGGTCTGGGGGAAGTGAAGGGAAGAAAGTAGCTATGTGTAAGCCAGACATTAGTGCATCAGAGGCTGCCTGTATTTTATTGAAAACTTTTAATGAAACCCAATGGATAAGCTTCATCTTTGTCATATTTTGTCACAATACATTAACTTGCAACTACATTAAAACTTATTCTAAATACTTGTACTTTTCTTGTTCTGTAGATGATGTAGATGATGTTGCTTGTTAGTTAAAATATCTTTTATAAAAGAAAGTCCTGCTTCTTATCATGATGTATGTGACTTAAATGACTGTTTCATATTAAAACTATTTCTTCCTTATGTACTGTTTACATATACCTCTTTTTGGGATATTAGTTCAGTACTTTTATACAAATCTGAGTGTGTTCCACATTGGTGACATGTATTTTTGCAGTAATTTTTTCTTTTGTTCTTAGAGCATGTCTAAAGTAACACATGCACTAGTGCTGTGGTCTGTGGCAAAATTACTGTAATTCAAATTGGAAAATAAAATGTTTCCAGACTTTGTCCAACATTTATTCCTATGGCAAAGGAAATTACTATGTAATACTAATTATTTCTTATGCTGGTATGTTTAAGCTACTCTATGAAGTATGTGAAACATCAATATTTATGGATTAGTAGATGGCCTAATGTCTTTGAAAGTGGAGCAAGGGGTAAATTTTGGTGTTAGTAATTCATAACACTCATAAGACAATAAATACTTCTTAAAAATTTTATCTTCCTCTTGCAGTTATAATTTACTAAGGAATTGTTTTCTTAATTGACAGTGGATATTAGGATTGTTTTAGCCCATACCATTAAAATTATATACTATACTTTGGACTTATTCTATCTTCTGACCAAAAAAGATACCATTAATTCACCATAACCAAAATAAGTAGTAATACTATTCCTCATTTATAAGGAAACTATTTCAATACCATAAAACACCTCTAATTTACTTAAAATTTGTATCCATCGTTACAAGGACTTGAATGGTGTTTACTTTGTACTATCTGATGAAAAGATTTGTTAATATAATCAAGATTTTAAAGAAAAATGTTTAATCTTGGAAAATTTTTAAGCTTTTTAGAGGAATTTATTTAAGAATACAGTACTATTTTAAAAACATTCTTTTGTCATTAAAATGAGCACCCAAAAGAATTGTAATAGGTAATACTTGGCCAATGCAAATTTGTATATTTGAAACTATATGCTTGAAAGAAAAAAGAAATGCTTGTGAGTGCTTAAACTGCATATCTTGTTAAAATATTCAAATTTTTAGACTTAATCCAAACTATCCTGAATTAATAAGGTTTTACTATATCAGTGATGTATATTACAAGATAAGTATCTACTTATGTTAATGATATCTCTATACAGCAGCATTTTTGGCATGGTTGTGGTATATTTTGTACATTTGATTGTTGACTATTGATAGGATTGACATAGCAATAAATCTCATTCAGTTCTTAATATTTAAAAAAATGCCAGATACCATACTGTGTCATAATCCCAGTATATTTTACTTGAATGCCCAGTGTTTTCATGGGTTTATTTTTTGTGTTAAAAATTTAGTATTACATGTTAGAGATTTATTTTCTTCTGGTATTTTCACATAGAATCTTTTAGAACTGGGTCTATTTCTATTTAAATCATAGAGGTTTAAAGATGTGTTAGTATTA